ACTATGTACACGGCGGTGTCCTGAAATTAAGAATATCGCCGCTCGCCGCGAATGAGAAAATATATCTCTTACAAACTGCAATTGAATGCTAAGTAAACTTTTAAACGTTGCCGATTGAGCTCAAAAATGGAAAAAATGCGGTGAGAAACAACATAAGAAAATATACGCTTGTGTGTACAGTGCTTAATTCAGCTGAGTAGTCAGACAGACAACTTCAGAACTGACATAGAGATAAGGAGTTAGAGTGAACGACGATAGTGTAAAGTGAATCCGCTAGCCATGATTCTACTCATAACAGAGTTTGGTGTTTTACGAATATTAAAAAAAACAAAATCAGAGATAAGTAAAATTTTAAAACAAAATAAAGCGATGTTTTTGTGGTTTATTGGGAGCACGTCGACGATAACAATAAAAAACTGATTTTTCAAGATTTTCTGATTTATCCCAGTTTTCATATTCAATGTCTGTAATGGCTCTTGTGTCAATAAATTCTTTAAATCTTTTAATTTGACTTTCATTCCCTGAATTCCAACGCCAGCCTTTCATAGCTTCGTCCTTGTAAAGTGGTTTTTCTACTGTTGCTGTTGAAATTTGATTTCTAAAGGGAGCAGCGAGTTTATCTGTCTTTGTCACAGCAACAGTGTTGTTGTCGTCGTCGTCGTCATCGTCTAATAAAATTAGTTGTTTAACCACTTCGGTAAATATTGGACCACAACGTTGTAAACAATATTTACGCATAAGTCCACCAAAACCTTCAAGTGTCTTACAGTTGAGAATAAGGTAACTGACAAGACGAACATTTTCTGATGAGCAATCGTAATTGACAGTACGCACTTTTGCACCTATGTGTACGTAAAAGAAAGTTTAAAATAAATAAGACAGTTCTTCTCTGAAAAATGTTTATTGTTATGAGACACGAAAACAACGCGATTTAATTTAGACCAAAACCTTTAATTTTTCCCTGCCTTTATAGCTTAAAGTGTAGCCTTTTAAATGGTGTCCAAGCGAATCTTTGCCGTAGTATGAGTGTTTTCTGCTTGTCTAACTTTTTGAAGATTGGACTGTTTAGTTCGAAAAATTTCCCAGACATATTCAACTGATGGCACTGATCACCGTGATGCGGTTACTTTTTTATTTGAAACTGAAAGTAAGAGCGGCTAAAGTTTGCAGAAAATCGTTTTTTTTTTCAGTCGACTAAATATGCGCTTTTAGAAAGACGCCAGTCACTGAGCTTTTTCAACATGAAATAAAAAAAACTAACAGCACCACGATGAGCAACGCACTCAACTGACTATGCCATCGGGGCAAAGAGTCCAGTTTCTCAAATAGTCAGCCTAACGTGAAACGTTGATAATTGCCTGTAGCAGCATATCGATATATCCTGACATTTCTACTTGTCTTTATCTTATTCGGATTGATCATGCACCGTAACCACCCTTCACGATCTATCCTGAAACTCCATCTTAGGGAAGCCCATCCTCCTCCTGATCGAGTTTCGTTCTTTCCTAATACTTCCCTCCGTCACTGCCTCCTTATCCGAAATTTCCTAGCACTACACTCGGAGCTCTGGAAATGGAAGTACAAATAGTCTGCCCATCTCCGGATATCCCTCTGTCGGTCATAGGTTTTCTCGGTTTCACACGGATCTTCTCTCCACTTCTCTTTCTTCGTTTGTAGGTAGCTTACATTTCGTCGACACTGTGATAGTGTTAGACCTCGGTTATTCTTTATTCTTTTTAAGTCGCCCACACTTCGGGTACTTATACAGGCGATTACGCCTATACCGTCGACACTGTGGTAGTGTTAGAGCTTGAGTTTTTTTTGTATTACTTATTACTTTGGGTTTGCAGTTTGCATACATCCACCACACGTAATTTGTGCTTGCGCAACGGATTGCGCAGAAGGTTCCTTCTGCGTCCTCTTGTATCCGTACACGATATTTCTTAATTG